GTGTGTGTGTGTGTGTGATGCTGCATGTCTTTACAGTAACACACATACATTTATAGGAGATGATCAAACTGAGATGGGTCAGAAAATGTAATCTACACTGTTACAATGTTATTAGTAACTATTATGTGTGTGACTTTATTGACTGTAGAGCTTTATTTGTAGAATTAGAGCATGACGTAATTGATCCTTCTCTTGTGGGTTAGGGTTATATAAAATATATAATATAAAATCTCAGTTTTATTTATTGTGAGGTTAAAAAATGCTCTTTAAATATGTAGAATCCTTTTCACAATCTGAGCATAGCGGGGCCGAGTGACACTTTACACAGAAAGCTAGTCAGTTAAAGGACTGGGGTCTTCTGTAACCATTTACTATCCTATTAATACAGTACAATAAGTGTTTGCTCACCATTACATTTCAGTTTTGGCCCTCCAAGGGAAAATGTTTGGGCATCTTTGCTTGAATTATCATTGATTATCTCTGTGTTTACTTGCTTTTTCATGTCATCCTACTTTATTTGTGACATAAAAACATTTGTCCTGTAGTTTAAACGACACAGCAGAAACAGAGAAGAACTAATCCGTCCACATGGAAACCTTTATCTTGTGTTCATCTACATTTATTGGGTGTAGCCTATATCAAAGGTGCGATGTTAAATTGAAATGTTTAAATGACTAATTGATCCTTCTTGTAGGGGTCTAAATGACACGTGATGCTCAGTATTCCAGAAATGCGTCTTTCCCCCCCACCTGTTTGGTTTCATTCACTTGCCATCCACTTCTAGAGGCTGCCCATTGATTTCCACTCACTCAGTGCGCATCCCCGCTGCGCGCTCCCGCCGCCCAGTGAATCAGACGCTGGAGACTCTGCGGCACCAGGAGGACGCTGCACCGCCGACCAGAACGTCAGGGCTCGACAGGACACCCTTTCACATGTCCAGGTGGACACACAGACGCAGACAGATGGAGCTTTAAGGCCTCCTTCAGCTGTGTCTGCTGCTGCATCATGTTCCTGCTCTAACTCCAACACTGCTCACTGTCCGGACAAGAGGAGCGACGCGCAAGGTAGGGAGCACCCACATTCATTAAGTCCGCCAGTCTTGAGCTAATGATGGATGGCCTATGCGTCTGTAAAAAGGGCACAATTGATCGTTTATGTATTTTATTTCATGTTCAAATCTAAACCACAGACAGAATTGATCAACTAATGCTTCAATGAAGAGCTTTGTGTTTAAAGTTGGCACAGTAGTGACTAATTGACTTTTCGCACGATGGTGGCAAGTTGGACCAACACTGTTTGCCCTTTGGCGAGTCGGACAAATTAACCTATTTTAGTGTGTAAGTCACAGTTTGGTGGGTTCATAATGTCATGTGTTTTCTAGAGTCTCCAGGCGCTTAAGTTGGGAATGCTGTGCGTAAATGTGCACACATCAGTAGAAAAGTGGCCTGTAGCGTTTATTTTGACACAGTGCTGAAACTGTAGCTGAACAAGACTCCAAGGTTCAGTTCACCCACACAGACATATGCACAATAACAGCATGTACTGCATAATCATAATCCCAGTCTGATTATGAATCTTCTATCACTGAATAACAAACAGAACGTCCATTAACTGCTGGATAGATATTTATTTGATTTATTATGATAAAACAGATCCAAGCTGACATAATACAGTGCTGCACAGACATTTTTTGCATGCTGTATCACATATCACTGCCACTGTATGCTTAACAAGTCTTTATGTCAGAGGGTATCTTAATAATGTCAATCTTTTATAATTATTTTCAAAAACACATCAGCACCCAGAGAATTGTGTTTCACTCCATTAGATTCAATATAACGAGGATTCATTAATCCATGCAGATATCCTTTTAATCAGAAGCCAAGGGGAAGGTGATAATCTTCTCAACTATTTGCTCTGCTAAGACTGATGATGTGATGACACACACACACACTCACACTCGCAAGACATTGTGCTCAAGTCACTCGTCTGAATCAGAATTAGCGTGACTGAAGATCTTACTCCTCTTCAAAGGGCTGATATTTGATATTCATCGTTACATTTCGTGTTATTACACTAAGAGAGTTTTGTTACAAGAGGAGATATTTGTGAAAAAGTGCATTGACCTCAACTCTTATCCCCATACCTCTGCAAGCTTTATTATTTTAGACACAACTGACGTGAAAGAGGATGTGATGATTTGCAAAAACAACAAAGTAACACTCAACTTAGAAATTACTTGTATATTTAACTTGCAGTCAAGCCAGTGGGAATATTTTATTTAATAATATTTTTTTTAATTATTTTTTTCTGATTTATTTGTTTATAAATATCATCCCTTTGAAAGGATGGAGATAATTAGTCAACGCATCTTTTAAGTAACGCACATTTTGACTATTAATGATATCTGATTATAGGTGTATTTGATCACCATAGATTTGTTAATTGTTTCAGTCACATATCAACTGAATAGTTGTTTCAGCTTCACTAATATGAAGAATTAATTTTCTTCTCTTAAAGAAATAATATTGAAATTGTAACTTGAATATGTTGCAGTTTTTTGCTGTTGGTAACGCTCCGTCTGTAGTTTTAAGTTGTCACATTGGGCTTCACTTGTGACATTTCTCATCATATTTGATATTATAGGCTAAACTATGAGACTAAAAGGTAACTGATAGATGATCAGTAATTTAAAAAACATATTCGTTGCAGCCCTAAACTGCTCTCTCTGTGTTATTCCAAACCTAATGTTCAATGTTCCTCCTGTGTGACCTGAAACCTTTGGCTTCTCTCCTGTAACCAGCTGTTACTGTCTGTCTGTGTGACTGCGTCTTCTGTGCTCTGGGGCTTCTTCTCTGCTGTGTGGGCGAGGTTATAAATAAGAGGCTGGAGGCTTTTTGCGTGTGTGTGTGTTGTTTAACCAGCTGCTGGGAAGGTTTGTTTGTCTACTCTGAGTGCAGGTGTACTTGCTGGCCTCTAGATGCTGTTCTCGGGCCTGTTTTAAGCCCCTCCAACCGGTGCTTACCACCCTGCTTTTACCTCAAGTGTTTGAGTCTATTTGAGTTGGGTCAGCATCACCTGTCTCCTGTGTTGTAGCTGTGTGTCTGTGTGTGTGTGTGTGTGTGTGTGTGTGTGTGTGTGTTTTCCATTGTGACATTTATTCTTCAAAATCTGTCAAAAAAGTGTACAAAATGTAGCAATTTGACATGTTTAATTCTTTAAAATAAATGTGTAGATTTATATATAGAGGCAGGAGAGACAACTCTCGGATATACTGTATGTGTGAAGTCACTGGGTTGTAATTTTTCTGAGACATCAAAGCTCCAAAATCATTAAGATGACCTCCAGAAATGTGGTGATTTGAAAGAAAATTTACAGAGAACAATTTTAAGAACCTATATTTTGAGGTTTTTATGCTATTTCAGATTTTTTTAACAGCTAAATTATAGCCTTTAGTGTGTGTGTGTGTGTGTGTGTGTGTGTGTGTGTGTGTGTGTGTGTGTGTGTTCTCGTCTAGACAGAGAGGAGCATGGGAAAGTGGCCCCGACTTTGCAGGGAAGACCACCAGCAGTGACAGTCACATATAGATCTAAATATTGACAGCTAGATAGCCGCAGTATAGAACAGGACCGTCTCCATACTCTGTAATGTGCAGTACAGTGTATGTCCTAGTTTTAGATTTAGTGCCCATTAAGGTTCTCATCCAAATCAAACATGTTGTCACATCAATTTTTGTTTACTCTATTTTTAATTGTAAGGAAGAACAGAACTAAAGGAGTGGCAAAGGATTTCCAGTTTAAAAGAATTTTTCATTTTTTAAAGATTTTTAGCCCAGGCTGTTGCCTCCTGCTGGGATCCAGACAGTGGGAGTGTCCATTGTCACACCAACTTCACCAAGCAGGGCTTGACTAAAGGAGATGGCAAAGCTTCACAGAGCCGCTAGCATGGCTGTAAAGTCCTGTTTATGTACAGAAACCACAGCAAAAATGTACTGCAGGAAAATGTGCATCTGCATATGCAGTTTGTTGGTGATGTAATCCACAACTTTTTCTCCAGGCCTGCTGTGACTTGACATTCAAAACCAGGGTTGCATATGAATCATATGGTCATGGCATAAGAACCAGCCTAAGGAACATGCACTGAATGAGTCAAACATCAAGGTGTATAAGACCTCGCCAGCAGGCCAGAACTGGGTCAGCACTATGGTCTGACAACTTTTCTTTAGTAGAGATTACAGTATTTGGTCATCCGTTTACTGTAGCATGCTATTGGAATATAAATACAAGTAGGAATATCTTGACTTAAATACTCTGTTTGCTGAATGTGTGTTCTGTTCTCTTTGTCTTTTGGACCCTTCATGTTATCTTTGTCTGTTTTGTTTGTCCATTTGGCTACTGTAGGCATCATATTTCAGTCAGACTTCACACCCAGGCGCACACAGCTCTCTGAGAACAATATGATTAAAAAAACTCCAGTCAGCCTTGCAGTTCATTCTGAGTGACCCAAACAGCTCATGGTGATTTATAACCAGCAGGGTCAGCTCCAGAGGAGGCTTGTGAGGGGTCACACAGTCAGTTGGGCGGCTAAAATAGATGCCTCTCCTTCACTTCCCCACTGGGTCGATTTGTCTCACTCAACCCAAAGCTGTCGCTGCAGAGAAAGTGTTGAATCATGCAGCCTAGATCTCCTGTTAAAAGACCCTGACTGTTTGAGGTTTTCTGTATCTCACTGTTGTGCCCATACTGGGTTTACAATCGCTGTGGCACAATATTAGTACCCAGTGGAATACTGAAAAGTTTTGTATGTCACATGTGCATTATGATAATAACGATGACATTCCTGCTTTGCCTGTCTGCACTATTGCAAAGTGGGTCAGTGTGTGTGTATACTGTAGCCTCCAAACGGGAGTTAGATTCATTTATTGAGAGCTGTAAAATTCACCTCAATGCAACAGTATTTAGCCTGAATGGAGGTGAGGTTGGACAAGCAGGTGGTGATCACCACAGCTGAGTGCTGAAGAGTTCAGACACCTGTCAGTCAAGGTAAACACACCCCAAAATATGTCCTTCCCTAAGTCTTGATGGCACAATTATTTTAAAACTACAACAAAGACACAAAATATAAATGGGAAACAAGCTATTGAGATCTCAGCTTATATTGACTTGTAGAAAGACCTTTGACCTCAATACAGTGATCTTTTTTGGAGCCAGCATCTAGTGGTTATTTCTGGTAATGTAGCCTAAGGCACTTGCACATTGGATTGACTTTGGAAGGAGAAGCTGTGGTGGTTGCTGCTGCTTTGGGTAAAAAAACAATGTGAATACAGCTAAGTGCACTTCTGCAGCAGAGAAACCATAGGGTTGTTCGCCAGTTTTTTCCTTGTCCACTGACCAATAATTACAGATCAAGAGACACATAAACACTCAGGAATGAAAAGCTTGTGGTTATAATTTCGAGTTAGAGCCAAATTTTAAAAAAATCTTTTCTTTACTCAAGATGCTCTGACAATCCCAGACAGTCCCCACCAGGTTACTGATCTGATTTGAGCTTCACTTCCAATGGAACAGTAACAAGAGCTTTGTCCAACACTGTTTCCCCTGAGCAGAAAATCGATAATAATAAGTTGTGGCTTGCTGAATTCAGGTTATAGCTGTTCTACGCCAGCTATTTTTATCCAGCATTTACAGTTATTTGTTGTGATTACACAAAATTCTAAAGCCATTCCAGAGGAAATGCATAAATATATAGATTTCTATTATCAAAAGGCATAAAAAATCCATATTTTACTTTCAGCCGCATCCACTCTACCTCTAGTGTGGCTGTATTGACCTTGGAATGAGCCAATGTCCTGAATGTGATTGTTTTTCCAGATACTCTATATGTACACTATATCTAGCTATATGCAATAACAGCACAGGTTAATCTTCTGATACTACCGACCTACTGTCGAAAATATAAATCTGAACTTCAGTATCTTACTGAAATCTACGGCTGCTGCTTATGTGTCTGTGAGTATGGGATTCAAGCTTGAAAATATACCTGCTTTGTTTACCACCAGAAACAAGCCTGCATCCCAAGTACTGCATAACACACTGAAGCAGCCAATTGCTCATAAAACTGTCAATTATATGAACTTCCTGTGCAGCCTCGCTCTGACCTCTGCTTGCTCACTTGAGGAAATGCATCTCCAGCTATGTTAACTGCTTTACAGAATGGTAATGAGGTGCTAGCTGCCTAAGCCAGAGTTTGGGACGATGCATGCTTGAAGTGCTGAGAATGCTGGAGGCAAAAATAGAAGGCCAAGGCTTGAGGTGCGTTTGTTTCCATCACTGGCTGGGATTAGCAGCTTCTAAACACTCTGTTCCATTAAGGCCATTGTAACAAAGTACACTGAGTCGTGAACACACACACACACACACACACACACACACCACACAGCACACCACAAAGCACACACACAAACCACACACGACACACACCTTTTGAGAACCTCCCACTCTGACCACGTTTAGGCGCTGAATCATTAGATTTCATGGGCTGTTCTTCCCAAATACCAGTAATAGCCTCATGTGTTGAGCATTCAGTAGTGCAGCTCTTGTTTATTGCTTTCTCTTTACTATCTAGTCTGGAGCTTGTATTATGTAATATGCGAT